GTGAGGGAAAGATTGTAGGTCAGTTAGAAAGCTATTCTAGTAGTCTAGGGGGAGACAATGTGGACCTGAATCAGCTTGCATCATGCTTTGTCTTTTTTGTTTGTTTGTTTTTATAAAATATCAGTTCAAGCTGGGTTACCCAAGAAATATTACATATTAGGAAGCATTATTTTCCCCTATTTTACAGATTGGGAAAGTGAGGCACAAAGTGTCTTCTTCAGGTATGTACCGTGGCAAACGTCTCTGCAAATCCCCACCTCTTATTTAAGGCTAATTCCTTTGGACAATACTGGTACTTTGAGCCAAGATTAGAATTCTTAACCCTTATTTCTTTGAAATTTTAGGGTAAGTCCAAGAAAAATTTGTAAAGAAGACAAATTTGCTTCCCCCCCCACCTCCCACATTTGGCCTTATCTTTTGATAAACTTCTCCTGCCTCTCTCTCAGTTGCCTCTGAGCTGCCTAGTTATACCCCATTAAAACTTGCTTTCAGAAAAGGAACTGATAAACTTAAGTTTATCACTGATAAGGATAAAGAACTGATAAACTTATCACTTGATCACTGACTAAACTTGTCAGTGTGTCACTGATTGAAGATTGGTACTTTAACTGGGGACAAAAGAATATATAATTGTTGAGTTGAATTAGAATTCAAGAAGATCACTTGACAGGCTAAGAACACTAGGTCAAGCTTTTAAAAAGACATAAAGAAAAGTCTTTTACATGGAATGCAAAAAATCAACCCCAACAGTAGAAGATGAAAAAGACATGGCTAGACTGCAGCTCTTCTGGAAAAATGTCTCGGTCAAGGGGGTTTAGTGAAATACAAACTCAATATGAGTCACCAAGGTGATGTGGCAGCCAAGAAGGCTGATCCAGGGGTGTACTGGAGCCAGTTTGAACCAACTTGTTAGAGCTGATTATTAAATTTTCAGTGAGAACATTTACACTTGAAGTTGTGAAATGCCAAATTTGCAAATCAGGGCTTGATTTATTGTTTTGCTGATTATCTAGACTTGAGAAAATGGTGGTAAGAATGTTAATAATGCAAATTAAACTTTAAAGAGTTTCTCATAGTTTATTTTTTTCCCTCAGGGAGCTGGTTGTTAAACATTTATTGGTATACCTCTGGTTAATACAATCTTAGGCTGAATTGAGGACACTAGTGTCCAGGAAGAGAGAGGCATTAGTTCTCCTGTGTGCTGTTTTGCTCAGATAATATCTGGAATGGTGTATTCAATTCCCAGGACTACATTTTAGGAAGGGATTGATAAGGTGAAGGTGTTTCAGAGGAGGTCAGCCAGGATTTTATAGGACCTCAAATTCAAACCACATGAAGACCAGCTGAAGGAGCTGGGATTGGAGAAGAGAGTTGGAAAGTGGACCATGGTAGTTATCTTCGAGTATTTGAAGTCTTGTCATGAAGAAGAGGTAATGAATCTCTTTTGCCTGATTCAGAAAGCAGAGAGCTTGCAAAGAGGCAAGACGCTTATTAGCTACATGACCCTGAACAAGTTATTTAACTTTTGTCTATCTCAGTTTGCTCATCTGCAAAATGGACTTAATGATAACACCTGCCTCCCAGGGTAGTTGCGAAGATCAAATGTGATCATATTTTTAAATGCTTTGCAAACCTTAAAGAGCTATATAAATGCTAGTTATTATTATTATTAATGCTATTAGCTATAAGTTTAGACTTGAGGTATGGGGTGGGGTAGGAAGATGGTGGGGCTCCTTCCTAACATTTAGAGTTAACAAAGAGTGGAGTGGATTGTCATGGGAGGTAGTAGGTTATGCCCTCACTGGAGATCTTTAAGCAGAAGCTAGAATATAACATGTTAAGTATATCGTAGAGAGGGAGGAAGAAGGAAACAAGCATTTGTTAGCAGCCTACTATGTGCCAGGCACTGTGCTAACCAAACACTTTACAAATATTGCTTTATCTGAGCCTCAAAACAACCCTGGGAGGTAGATATTGTTGTTATTTCTATTTTACAGTTGAGGAAACTGAGTCAGGCAGGTTAAATGACTTGCTCAGGATCACACAGCTTGTAACTACTACATAAATGCTCACTGTTATTATGATTAACCTCCTCACTGCTAAATTGAGGCTATACCAGAATGGATTCAGGTTAGGCAGTGGGACACTTATGATTGGAATCCGTCGTGGGGTAGGGGAGGAGGGAATTATTGGACTTTCTTCTCTTAATAGTTGTTGTTGTTGTTCCCTAGTGTCAGACTCTTCATGACTCCATTTGGGTTTTATTTTGTTTTGTTTTTGTTTTTGTTTTTTGGCAAAGATACTAGGGTGGTTTGCCATTTCCTTCTCCAGCTAATTTTACAGGTGAGGAACTGAGGCAAACAAAATTAAATGACTTGCCCAGGGTCACACAGCTAGTAATTGTCTGAGGCTGGATTTGAACTCAGAAAGAAGAATCTTCCTGATTCCAGCTCTATCCTCTATCCACTGCCAGTTTGCTGCTGTCTGTTGATAGACACCAGCCTAAAAGTGTGATCTTTACTGAAAACAAGAGGCTAGAGTAGGTAACACATCTTAATTCTTCCAGGGCCCGGTTTTAGTGATAAACACAAGCTTACTAAATTCACTTTCATTGAGCAGACATTATTCTGTTCCTGTCAGTAATTCCATGTTAATAAAGTCTTTATTTCCTCCCTTCAGATTTCTAGCTACCTGTCTAAGGTAATACAAGTCACCAAGTATAGTTCTGAGAGTAAACTTTAACATCTCCCAATTTAAATGAACAAACATAAAAGCCACAGAGTTTTCAGAGCTCTCTCCCATATATTATCTCCTTTGAGTCTCAAAATAACTCTGAGAGGCAAACAAGGCAAGTATTGTTATCTTTAAGTTAGAATTAAGAAGAGAAGTTAAGAGGTTTGCCAAAAGTTGCAGAGCTCATAGGCTAGATCCAGAACTTTCATCTTCTAGTTCATTCATTCATTCATTCATTCATTCATTTCATTCATTCATTCATTCATTCTCAGAGTGAATGTAAATAGTAACTGTTTCTCTTTTGGCCAGCACCCCTGAGGGTCTTCCGCTCCCAGACTGATTTTTTTTTTTTAACTAAAGAGGCCATCCCTTGACTCACTTCCTAAAGAGACCTATTCACTGAATAGGTGTTGCCTCACTCAAAGTGAGAACCTGGAAAGACCTTAGCTTAAAAGGGCCAAGGTCTTCCACTGCATCCTGGGCTATGTCTGGTCATTCTGATCTATGTGTGGCCACTGGCTCTGATGGCTCTGGAGGAGAAAGTGAGACTGATGACTTTGCACAGCCCTCCCTCACTCAAATCAAAGTCAATTGCAAGTCATGTCATCAACTCCCAGATGTCATGGTCCTCTTCCAGAAGGAAGGACAAACCACACACCACTTACTAAATGCTTTTGGCGTACAGAATAGTAGCTAGGTGGTGCAGTGAATAGCGTGCTGGACCTGGAGTCTTCCTAATTCATCTTGCTGAGCTCAAATCTGGCCTCAGACAAATCTGGCCAAAGAGCATTAGCTGCATGACCCTGGGCAACTCACTTAACCCTGTTTGTCTCAGTCTCCTCATCTATAAAATAAACTAGAGAAGGAAATGGCAAACCACTCCAGTGTCTTTGCCAAGAAAACCCCAAATGGGCTCAGGAAGAGAGGGATATGACTGACAAGAGCAACATTGTTTACAGAACACTGTGCTGTGTGCTAGAGGGATGCAAAATTTAGATAAGACCTTTCAGTTGCATTAGAATGGATTCTGTTGAACTACCATTGAGGTCCCTCACCACAGAACATTCTAGAGTAGATTCCTATGGATCTCAATATAGATTCTTCTCAAGAAGACTGCAATCATCTCTTAGAATTCCTAACATCCTTCAAAGAGCCACTTCAAGAAACCTTGATTCCCTACTAGCACCCTGCAAAGTACATCAGATATATTTTATATTTAATTTTCCATGAACATGTTGCATCCCCCAGTAGAGTGAAAGCTTTTGGGAAGCAGGATTGTTTTATTTTTGTCTTTGTCCCTCACTTGCTTAGCACAGTGCTGGGCGTAGGAGGTGATTAACAAATTCTTGTTAAACTCAATGCTTATTGAATAATCAAATCAGAGGCTGATGAGTCTTGCATGTGAAGTGAAAATTGGGTTAAGTAATATCGTTGAATATAGGTCAGAGGTGCTAAGACCCTGTCCAATATCTACATATCAGTGTGATAAATCTAAACTCTCATGCAAATGAATAATTAACCCAAGACCAATTGCACATCCAAAATCATTAATGAAAATTGATTTCCCTTCTGTCTTGGGCCGCTTTTCTCTGTGGCATCATGATATTGTTTTCAGAGTCAACCAGGATTCAGAGAATGTTTATTCATCTCCTCACAGTCCCTTCCTTTTCCTGTATGAGGGGATCCTAGTCCCTTTTAATTTGGAAAGTTTTGACTGGCTTGGCTTTTGAGTGGGGAAGAGGTGAAGACTGCATCACAATAATTCTATAAGACAGGGGATTCAACATAGAACATCAAATTAACACAAGTGAATAATGGGTCACTCAGGGAAGAGCCAGGAGGGAGTACAATAGAGATCAGCTCTTTGGGTCGAGGTATAATCCCTGCCAACTGACTTCATGGATTGTAATGGAGCAGGGTGGGAAATCTGCTTTGTTGGCAGCTGGTTAAATGCCTTTCCAGTAACATGGTGGAAATGGATTATGTATAAATACAGTCACGTGCAATGATAAAGGGAACTTGGACAGAAGGCACAAACCACTGGGACGCCAAGGGGCTTCCCAGCGGTTCCTGTGAATGCTATATTTCTGAAAGGAAAAAACTCCGTGACTCAAGTCCCCAACAAGGAGACCACTATTTGAATTGTATTCCATTTTTAACCAGATGCCCTGGATGCCCCAGAAAGCAAATAAAGATCTATAGAGGCATCAAGATAATTGAAAAAAAATTGCTGTACATTAAACTTGCAGATCCTTATAAAGACTTACTGGAAGAGTCAGGGCTGGTTCCAGTGTAGAAAGGCATTCACTGGAGCTGAAACGAGGCCTTTCTGTACCCCCGGCAAAGATCACAAATTGTGCCTACAGCAAATGACACAAAAGACATCATCAGTTGGACATTCTCTAACTGTGTGTGTGTGTGTGTGTGTGTGTGTGTGTGTGTGTGTGTGTGTGTGTGTGTGAAATGGAGATCCCAATATACCATCTTCAGATCTGCCCGTAGGGGTAGCAGAATATGGAATAGAATGAGAGGAATTTAATCTACCATCTGCCGGTTTGGTACTAGGTGCTGAGTTCTGCAGTTTTTAATGCTGCTTAAAGATGCCAGAGGTTGTTGTTGGCCTCTAAATTTGGTGTCCTCTAAGTTCAGGACTCACAGACAAAGTCCTGTTCATACCATCTTGGTTCTGGCTCTGTCCTTCAGTATGGGATGCTAGAGGGGGAGATGTGGGCTTTGGCATTTTGACCACCATATTTGTCTCTAGCCCTGCTCCCTTTTAATCAGCCAAGGAGGAAGCATAGATATTGGTACAAATCTGTATTTGGTACAGGTTATACCCATAGCTCATGGAATGGGCAGAGGGACAAAAGAAGGTGGCCAAAGGGCACGCCCTTGCTCTCACCTAATATTTCTTTCTTTCTGCTTTGCAGGCTCTGACGGAGTCTCTTTAGATAACTAAGTGGGACAGTAGATAGAGCATTGGGCATGGAATCAGAAAGACCTGAGTTCAAGTTTAGTTATAGATGCATACTAGCTGTGTGACCTTGGGCAAGTCACTTAACTTCTGTTTTCCTCAGTTTCCCCACCTGTAAAATGGAGATAATAATAGCACTCATCTCCCAGGGTTGCTGTGAGGATCAAATGAGATAATATTTGTGAAGTGCTTGGCCCAGTGCCTGGCACGTAGTAGGCACTATATAAATGTTATGATGATGATGATGATGCTTTGGGTGCTGTTAAATGTCTTTGCTGCATTAAATGAGAAACAAAGTCAAACTCTTACACCAAAAAGCTCTATCCTTTCTTTCCCTTCCTTGTATGTGTCCTGTGCATTTCGCTCTTCTCCAAGAGAAAAAAAATCCAGCAAATGAAAACCACATGCAAATGGTACCAGGCTCAGGAGGGCCTTCTTTTCATTAAACTTCTCTGGAACCTGGGCCCTCTGCTCTATCTGCACATGGTTTATAGCCAGGGTCTCCATGACTAAAAGAGAAAAGCAATCAACAAGTGGAAAGAGTGATCATATAGACATCAGTTGTAACCGTGAAAACTGAAACAGGCAATTTTGAAGCACAATCACTACTTTGTAATGCTCCAATAAGGAAGGAGACAGTCCACGTATTGCTGAGTATCAGGTGCACAGGGTCAGCAGGAAGTAACATCAAAGCGGTGTGCTTACTGCCTTAAAGGCTGACAAAAGCAATAGTGTAAATGAGATGGCAGGCAAAGTGGCTCCCAAAGGGCAGGGTGCAGATTGGTCTTTGAGAGTAAGGATTGTTCCTTTATGTCTTCTTATCCCCAGCCCTTGACACAAAGCCTTCCACATATCAGGAACTTAATAAAAGCTTATTGAATTGAATTAAATCTATGCTTTTAATACCATGTCAGTTTCTCTCTACCCTCCATTAACACTGTATTTTAAAACATACATGATATACTTTCCTTATAATAAACCTGTAGAGTATATACAAGTATTCACACTCCCAATTTATAGCAGTTTTATATTATTATATCATGTATCAGGCCTTTTAAAATTTGTGTTCATGTTCAGTCACGTCCAATTCTTTGTAGCTGCATTGGAGGTTTTCTTGACAAAGATACTGGAATGGTTTGCTATTTACTGCTCCAGTTCATTTTATAGATGAGCAAACTGAGGCAAATAGGGTTAAGGGACTTGCCCAGGGCCACACAGCTAGTAAGTATCTGAGGCCCAATCTGAACTCACAAAGATGAGTTTTCCTGACTTCAGGCCTGGCATTCTATCCACTGAGCCACTTAGCTGTCCCAGTGTGTTTATGAATCTTTTGTGTTTTAAGCATTTAATCTGTAAGAAGAAAAAAAAAAACCTCACCTGTATTTGATTTATATTGTATTTTGAACCAAACCTAGATTTTCTTTAAGTGATCTCCCACATGAATGAAGTTTAAAAAGGCAGAGACAATGAGAAACATGGTTGGTCCCTCTTTTCAGAAGAGCAGGTCCCCAGTGCTTAAACTAATATTTGTATGGGCTCAGTGCTAAGGAGTGGGGAAAAGTTTCTCAACCCACCTGGGTCTATTGTTACACAAAATAGTTACAACATTAATATGGCATAATTTTTTTGGAGGGGAGGTACTGATACTTGGAGGATATCAGAAAAGTCTTCGTTTAGAAGGTGGCCTTTTTTGGCTGAGTCTTAAAGGAACATAGGAATTTTATGAGGTGGAGGTGAAGAGGGAGTGAATTCTAGACATGGAGGACAGCCGGTGCAAACCTATGGTGACAAAGATGAAGTACTTCTTGTGAAGAACAGTAAGACAATGAATTGGCTAAACATGTGTGCATGTGTGTGTGTGTGTGTGCGTGCAACTTGGCTAGACTGGGAGGATGGTGGTGCTCTTGGCAAAAATAGAGAAGTTTGGAAAAGAATTTGGTTTGAAGGTAATATTTGGTATTGAGTTTAAGGAGCCTATAGGGACATATAATTTGAAACGCTTAATACATGGTTAGTGATATGTAACTGAAGCTAGAGGAAGAGAGTAGGCTTAGATCAATGAATTTTTAAAATGTATTAAGCACAGTGCTAAGTGCTGTAGCTACAAATAAAAAGTGAGACAGTTCCTCCTCTCAAGGAACTCGTATTTAAATAGACTAGACTAGACTAGACTAGACTAGAATAGATAGAATAGAATAGAATAGAATAGAATAGAATAGAATAGAATAGAATAGAATAGAAGAGTAGAGTAGAATAGAATAGAGAAGAGCAGAATAGAACAGAGTGAAATAGAATAGAGTAAAATAGAGCAGAGCAGAATAGAGTAAAATAGAATAGAGTAGAATAGAATAAAGTAGAGTAGAATAGAATAGAGTAGAGTAAAATGGAATAGTGTAGAATAGAATAGAAAACAACATATAGGAAATTTCAGTTGCCAGTCACATGGATATAAATGGCAAAACAGATGGTAAAGCATCTTTTCCAGTCTTGTTTCCATCAATAAAATCATCTCTGGTTCTGATGTTAAACCATTTGGTAGCACCAATGATTTTATTGTCAAGAACTTTCTTTTCTGGGTCTTCAGTAACTGGCTGCTGAGGAGGCAGGTGCCAGGATACATTTCCACTAGGGTTGTTTTCCAGGATAATGGATAGGGCCAGTGTTCTTGGAGTCACTGATATCCCTGTTACTTAAGGTCCTAGATTTCTCCACTGGAGACTAAGGGAGATGGTAGTCAATGTGGAGGAGGTGGTTTGATCTAGTTGGCAAATCCCCCCTCTTGTATCACCTTCAAGGTGTCTTGCTACTTCAACTAAGCTAGCTTGCCTGTTTCAGTACTGGCAGTTAGTATTGGAAGTGGCTGGGATAGTGGGCCCCTTTTCCACAGGGGCTAAGAATCATCTACATTGAGATGATATAGCTGGTACAGCAGATAGAGCACAAGGCCTGGAGTCAGGAAGACTTAAGTTCAAATTCTGCCTCACACATTTACTAGCTATGTGACCATGACAAGTCATTTAACTTTTGTCTGCCTTAGTTTCCTCAATTATAAAATGAGGATAATAATTGCATCTACATCCCAAGGTTGTAGTGATAATCAAAACAATATTTGTAAAGAACTTATTACAATGCCTGGCACATAATAGGTACTTAGAAAATACTTGCTCCTTCCCTCTCTCATTAAATCTTTGAAGTCACTAAAAGAGTCCAGAGAGAGTTGAAAAGAGGACCCAGGATAGGATAGAGCCTTGAAGTATACCCACAATTAGGGACCCTGATGTAAATGATGTTGCTGTTCAGTTGTTTTCAGTCCTGTCCAACTGCTTCTGACTTTCCAGATTTCAATAGCACAAATATCTTTTTTTAAAAATAAACATTTATCTCTCCCTGTCCCTTCCCCAATGAACATTTTTTAAAAGCTGCACAACAATGTGTAGTCCAGCAAAACAAATTCCTACATTGGTCATGTCCAAAAAATGTATGTCTCATAGTGTATTTTAAGTCCATTACCTAGCTCTGTCAAGAGGTAGGTGGCATGATTCATCTTAATTTCTCTGACCTTGCTTATGATTGCATTAATCAGATCTCTAATGTTTTTCAGAGTTACTTTTATCTAGAATGTTGTTGTCCTTACATCAAGTATTTAAATTTTGCTCACTTTACTTTGCATCACTTCACAGAGGTCTTCCTGGTTTCCTGTGAAACTGTCCATTTTATCAATTCTTATGGCACTATAATATTCCATTACATTTCTTAGCCACAATTTATTTGTTCAATCATTCTCCAATATATGAGTACCCTTTTAGTGTCTTGTTTTAAGCTACTAAGACAAGAGTGGCTATATTTTTGTACCCATGGGTCCTTTTCCTTTCTTTGATTTCTTCGAAGAATAATCTTAGTGGTGTAATTGAATCAATGGATATGTATAGGTTAGTAACTTTTGGAGGCATAATTCCAAATCGTTTTCTGGAATAACTGGACCAATTCATAGCTCTCTACCAACAATATTTTAGTGTAATTCTTTTAATGGGTAGGATTTTGATAAGCAGAGCTTGGGAGAGAGAAGCATTGGAACCAGCAGCGATTCAGTCTTTACATACTTTCTTCACAAGGAATGTGCATTTGCTTACATGCTTGCTTGGTGCCAGAGATTTTAGATCAGAGACCTTAGCTCTGACCAAGTCTGACCTAGGTTCCAGTACACAGCTGTTGCTTTCTCAATGCAATCCAGGCCAACGGGGCCCAGGAGTTCCTTGTGTACCTACTAGTATATTTCATCAGCTTCCATTTGTGAAATACAACCTCTCCCCTGATTGCCATTTTCACTTACTCAAAGAAATCATTTGAGGCTCATGCACAGAAGGAAGGGAAGGTGCACGTTATGAC